AGCGGGAACCGGTCTGTATGTGGAATCCGAACCCTCGGCGGGAGCGCCGCCGCGCTCCCAAGGGGCGTACTGTAGCAGTGCGCCACCAGGCCGGCCCTGATCCATCCTTTTAGAATGCACTGCCACGAGCACCCCTTAATTACATTATGAATGGCTTAAGGGGTTGCTGTCACCTTTGCTCCTGTGTATTGGTATTTGTACTGTTAGTATCTCCAGGACAGCCATTTCCTCTTAAAGCTCCTATGCGTATTTTTAATATTAAAGCCCCATTTAGAAATTCTTAGAACTTCTTGATTCAATTTACCAACTCTTTAAGTCAAACACAGAGAAAACAGGTTAAGTCTACTGGACAACAATCCAGAACAATGGAAACTTACTTGTATAAACTGATAGTTGGTTCGACAGCCAGCAAGACAAAAGGTGCGACTGTGTAAGTGACAGCCAGCTGAGTGGCAGCCCAGGTGACCACATCATAAATAGCTTTGAGAGCTTTTGAAGAAAGGAAGTAATGTCTGTAGTTGTTCCTTACCTGCAAGCCAAGAAGGTAAAAATGGGGGTAAAAAACAAAAACAACTTTTACTCCATGCAGGCAGGTAGTATACCACAGGAACATAGGCTACAGAAAATAACCAACCATCTGAGTTCTGTTTTCAATTAAAAATACCATTATGGCTTTTCTTATTTTCAAACAACAGCTAAGAAGAAAAAAAAAAAAAATTCTTTCTTTTTTATCATCTCCCAAAGAAAACCACCATTAAAAAACTTGGCACAGAGCTTTCCAAACCTTTTTCTTTTTAAAGATGACCGGTAAGGGGATCTTAACCCTTGACTTGGTGTTGTCAGCACCACGCTCACCCAGTGAGCAACTGGCCATCCCTATATGCCTGGGGCCTTGGTGTTATCAGCACCACACTCTCCTGAGTGAGCTATGGGCCGGCCCAAACAAACGATTTTCTTTCTTTTTTTTTTTAGTGACCAGTAAGGGAATCGCAACCCTTGGCGTGGTGTCGCCCGCACTGCGCTCAGCCAGTGAACGCACTGGCCATCCCTATATAGGATCCGAACCCGCGGTGGGAGCACTGCTGCGCTCCCAGGGCCGCACTCTCCCGAGTGAG